GAACTTGGACAAGGTCGATGCATGGAATGCAAACCAAATAACAGTGAGTCTTATTCTAGTAGACAACACTACACTACACGAAATTGTTGCTCCAATCCACGTTAGTTTGTCTTTTCACTGCTGGGCTCACAGCATTCACTTTTGTATGAAAAATTCAAAATTCCGCGACTATGTATTGACATGATGACTTCTCATTGTTTCACAAGTATGGTACACATATTTATGCGGGGTTTTAAATTCCACACATTTGCCACACACTCTCGGTAATGTTATTGGAGCTGGTCGTTCAAATCTTAGTCATTATACTCACGTCCATACCTATACATCTGTATGTATGTATGTATGCATACCAAACCCACATAGTCGTTCACTGACACATGAGAGGCAGAGAGTTTTGCTTGACTTTCCGCTTTCCGTTTGGCATGAGCATATATTCCATATACACAAATGTTTACACATACATTTGTATTTACGCTTTTATGCATATGCACTAGCGTGAGCAATAATTTGGGTTTAGTTTATTGAATGAAAAGTAGTTGTGGCGGCTTTTTAGTTCAAACTGGCGACGAGAAAACTGGTATTCAACCAAAATCTCGGCGCTAACGCGATGAGATATTCAGCAATGGAATGCATGGAATGTCAGTCTTCAAGCTGTGTTGTTATTGTTATGCGCATAATGTGGATATAACTATTATTTTTAGCGCGGCCATCGATGCATTCATCTTGCACCTTCGAACTTTATAATAGACGAGAGTAGACTTCAACACTATGATATAAGTATGTACATATGTTTTTGTAGTTAGCTAGTACTGCAGTTTTTGTTGTTGTGGACTTCTTTCGTTGCTTGTCGCTTCTGAGTTTGATATTTGTATGTTTGTATTTACTCTTTTCATATGGTAATAAATAAACTCGTACTACATGTACTGCGAGGCATACTCTTATACATCTATCGATATACATACATACATATGTATCTCTTTATTTAATATAATATTGGCATGCGTTTAAGTATACTCAAATATGCATAAGCATTTATAAATATTTTGTTTTCTATTTTTGTTTGGCGCCTTGTATTTGTGGCAAAAATAAATTAACCAAAGTGATCTTATAACACGGAATTTAGGTTATGTCAGGTTTGCTATATTAAGTTTATTTGTATCACAAATTAAAATATTAAATATGGAGATTAATTATGCACCACGGGACACATTACGATACAGTAATTATTACAGCTTTAAAAGTGTGGGAACTTACTTCGTATTTCAAGCGATTTTTTGTGTGATTCATAATAATATACCATCTGATCAAATTTAAGCCGGACTGACAAAATACATTTTCACGTATTTTTTTGGATGAACTTTTATTATACTAACGCTTAATTCAGTTTTCTTAATACTATTTATAAGCTTAGGCTAGGGCTCAGTGCTTTTACGAAATTTTGTTTTTTTCGGTCTCGGCTTTTTTGGAGCGCCATTCGCTAGATTGTTGGACAGTTTCGACGTCATAAACCCACGTCTCAGCACAGTAATGATTCGTTTGATGAATGCAAGGTTCTCAGCTAAGTTGTAAAAAAAATTTTTGCTACGTCTAGCATTGACACGCTTCATACTAAAAAGATTAACCAAAATGGTTGAGTCGATCCCTAAGAGATGTTGAGGTCCTCTGCTTTCTCTCTAAAGCCAACAAGACGATTTTCTTGCGCTGTTTTTTTTTAACTTTTCCGAATTGACAGTCCTTGGCCGAATAAAAATCCGGGTCCGTTCTGGTTACGTAGACTCGACTGTCGTGGGAACGTCGATGGTATCGTTATTAACAGAGGTGGATAGACGACTCGCATGAGGCAAGTTTTCGATGATTTCACGACACTTCTGCAACATTTTCAACGACTCCATAACCGTGATTCAATTAATAACACAAAATCGCCGACAAACCATTCGCGCCGTAAACAAACAGCTACCAAACACACACTATGTAGGCAACATTTTCGATGTTACATACAGCTGTGTTCACAAAAATAGCAGTGCGAGAAATGCAATCAAGTAATGTTATTTTTTTTCAAGTTCCGTTACGATTATTTCAACGTCTACGAATTGTCGTTGTAGAATGGAATGTGTATAAGGAAGAAACGTAAAAATCCTGTTAGATTTAAACAAATGAACAACTCTTTTTGCTAGAAGCACTCTTTGGCTGTTCATTAAAATAGCAGTGCGTATCTTGATAAGCCAAAAAAATTTTGTTAAGACGTTTAATTGAGTAAGTGGTTTTGTGTTAGTGACTATTATTAACATTAGAAAACAAAATAAATTTATATTTTTAACTTAGTGGGCAGGGGCAAATATTGTACTTCTGAAAAAAGAAATATTATAGTGCAACTAAGAAACCTGGGAAAAACATATAAAGACATCCAAGAAATATGTTGATGTTCTGCTAAAATGATTCATAATGATTTAAACTTTAAAGAAATGCCCGAAAATCGTGGTATCCGACGTAAAACCACGCCTCATGAGGACCGATCTATTGTGCGATATAGCAGAGCGCAGCCTTTTGCATCGTCCAGCAAGATAAAAAATGACTTAAGCTTGAATGTTAGTGGCGTTACTATTCGGCGACGTCTTAAAGAACAAAATCTCAAAGCGTCCCATCCACGAAAAGTTCCACTGTTAGCCACCAGACATGTCAAAGCACGTTTGGAGTTCGCCAAAAGTCACCTTAATTGGCCCATTACAAAGTGGCGAAATATTTTATGGAGTGACGAAAGTAAAATTGTGTTATTTGGTGGAAAGGGCTCTAGACAATATGTCAGACGTCAACCTAACACAGAGTACGATCCTAGGTACACTTTGAAGACAGTTAAACACGGTGGATTGAGTATTATGGTATGGGCATGTTTTTCTTACAGTGGAGTGGGCCCTATATTTATGATTGATGGGATCATGGTTCGATCTGTATATGTTAACATATTAGAAAATGTTATGTTTCTTTATGCCAATTGGGAAATGCCACTAAAATGGACGTTTCAACAAGATAACGACCCCAAACATACAAGCAAACTGGTCAAAAGCTGGATGGCATCAAAGCGGATCGATCTTATGTCATGGCCTGCGCAGTCTCCGGATTTAAATCCAATTGAAAACCTATGGGGAGATGTTAAACGATATGTTACAAATGCAAATCCAACATCTCGATCACAGCTTTGGGAGGTTGTTCAAAAATCATGGGAGCGGATCCCTGTCAAGCGCTGCCAGGACTTGGTGGATTCTATGTCTCGCAGATGCCAGGCCGTAATAAAAAATAATGGGTACACGACTAAGTACTAACCCAAGCAAACAAATTAAAATAGTTTTTTGGAGTTCAACATTGTTTTTTCAACTAATTCCACTGTTTTCATTACTCACTGCTATTTTTATGAAAAGCTGTAAACAGCACTTTTTTGTTTAAATTAATAATGTAAAAAAAATTAACAACATTTCGAATAATAAATTGACTTGTTTTTGTTTAAAATAATCACAAAGTTAAAACAAAATTAAATTTGTGAACATTCATTCTTTTACTTTTTGATATATAAAATTAAGTTTAAAGTTGCAGCTCATGAGCACTGCTATTTTTATGAACACAGCTGTATATATATGTATGTGCGCACTTTTCCTGTGTATTTCTCGAATTGGAACAACACGAGAAACACTTGCAGCGTAACTGGCTGGGTAAAAACTTTTCAAAACCTAATAATATTTCTGATTTCTTTTTTATATTTGCACCGTAAAAAATGCTTAATTTGCTAAAGTTTTCTTCTTTTGGTGTAACTCCGTAAAAATAAAACACATGTATTTTATGCTGATGCAATTTATCTCATTCATTCAAACAACTTGATAAAATTGCCTATTCAAAATTGCAATTAACATGCAAACACACAAGTATATTAAGAAAATCAATTACAGAATAACCTAACATATTAAAATTCTTGAGCTGATAACATGGCAGCACGCCTTCCGTTTCCGGCTGTTCCTATCGCTTTCACAGCATGCCGTAATGCGTGTCGGTATTTGGTATGCGCAAGTCAAAAAGTCGCCCGATATTATATTTCGCAGATGCAAAATGCAACGACGCATGCCAAAAAATTCATCACATGGAAGAAGACACCGTAAAAAAGAAAAACTCGTATCTGGTGGATGCGTTTGTTGGCATCCCATAAGGGATGAAATAATAACCATTGCATCATACTCGCGCACGCCGGCTCACTCTGGGGTTGGGGCAGCGGTTCAACAACTTTGAAATTTGCTTTGTCGTGCGATGATGAGTGCTTCCACATGCACACACACAACTCACACAAAAACGTACACATGCAGAGCATGACACTTTTGCTTTCTCTTCACCCTCTCACGTGCGCTCAATCTACTATTGTGTTTATATATGAAATGTTTGTGGTAGCTTCAGCTCATTCCTACAGCTGTGCTCATCGTAGAGCTGTGAGATTTTGATTTTCTGTTTGCTTTGTTTGTCGCGTTTTTAATTCTGATTTTGTTTTTACTTATGTTTTTCCTTCTGATGTCTCCTTTGTCGGTACAATGCGCGCGCACACCTCATTTTCCATTCCATTCCACCATCTTCGTGTACTCTCGCATTGTTCAAGGTTCAATTCTATCTGCTTTGCAACGCCAAAGCCGTTATCCAAGGCATACAAGATAATTTGGTGTCTCCCATCATCAGGCAGACACGCCAGCCCACTCTCCGACTTTGCTTTGTGTATCTTCTTAGGGTTGCAAGTTAATGCACGCTGTGCATTTTCCCTTTCTACAAATAAGAAATGTGCAATATTTGCACGAACTGGCTTTTTTCAACGCGCACATTTAATAACCTGTTCGCCTCTCGGCCACCACCTCGTCTCCGCTGACACTTTCCTCCGATGACAACACGCGCTCGTGTCTTTGCCTTTGTCGTTTTCTTTCGCATTTTAGTGTTTCTTTTATTATTGTTGTTGCTTTTTTTATGGCTGCTACGCTGTCTGTTTGTAATATCTAGTATTTTTTGTTTTTTTTTTTGTAAACTATTTATTTTTATTAGTATTTGTTTTGACTTCTACTCTTTGCACATCAAATTCAGCCAAGCTGCACGTGTGTGTGTGTGTGTACGGTATGCATGTAGCTTTTCATTTTCTGTTTTTTTTTTCCTGCGCCTTGCCACCATCTCTCATGACATTTCGTTTGCTCTTTACGTTTGCGACTTTGTCTTTTGACTCTTCATAACACGACGTTTTCATTATTTCGCAGTTGACAATAAGACGCTGAAGATGCAATAAAGCTTTACGTGTTGCCTTGTAACGAAATAATAAAAATTAACACGAAATTTATTGAAAATATATGCAAAACTTGTATGTTCAATAAATAATTTTTTCAAAAATTGTTGAACTTTGAGAAATATACAACATATGTACATTAAAATATATAATCGTATCAAAAAGCTGTAAACGTAGTCCTACAAGAAGAAGAAGAAGTGGAGGAGGAGGAGGAGGAAAAAAAACTTACTTCCAACTCTTGGATTTATCCAATCAATCAAGACTGGTTTTCTTTTTGGGGGATAACTACTCGCCGAGTTTGTGCATAATTGGAAGGCGTTACGGCGGCGCAAGAGGCGGAAGTGAGTAGTGCCTACAAAGCTAAGCAGACCGAAGAATGTGAAAAAGAAAGCTCTAGACAAAGTGAAACGTTCGAGGTGATTTTACTTACAAAGTTGTGTGTGTAAATATGCATTTACGTCTCTGTGTGTCTGTGCATGAGTGAATTTTCCCCGAGTGTTTACCTCGATTTTGTAAAAAGCAATGCGCAACATAATTGTGAAATTCATTCATTCATTCATTCAGTTAGTCTCCATTGGCGTTTGATGTTTTTGAAAGAATTAAAAGCCAATTGATAGCTTAATACACATACATAAACATATGCTAGTAAATATATAAACACATATGTACAAGTATGTATATACAAGGCATGCATATTATCTGCAATACTAGACAGCTCTCATTATGTTAAATATGGAAATGAAAATTTAAATCGGCGCCTTTGCCAACAATTTACTACACACATATGTATGTATGTACATACTATACTGCTATAAAACATTCACCTGAGAATTTGTGCTACCCATAATTCGGTAAAATATATACTAGAAAGTTTCAAAGGTCATTGCCTTGTTTGAAAAAGTCTCGTAGCCGCCATTATAAGTACATACACACGCAGTATAAATGAGATAAATAATCACGCTCTGCTTTAGTGAAAAAATGTAATGTTTCCGGCAATAATGTACGATGCATGATGCATTTGTACTATGTACATAAGTGCGTATATAAATAAATATTACTGATATTGGAATCACGCACTTTTTAAAGTAAATTTTATTTTATTTATTATGAAAGTAGAAATCATTTCTTTATGTCTATTAATGATATTTAAAAATTATTCTCATTGAGCGGTCAAAACATCGTTATGCAAAAAGTGCCCTGGCATACATTTTTTGATATTTAACATCTTTTGGATAGGTGGTAACTCTATTTTCGGAATTGTATAATTTAAATCCTCTCCAAATACTTGTCAAAAGACTTTCGCACTGTCTTACGTTTGGCAGTCATTTTCTTCAAGTTTTACAAGCTGTAACTTGAGTAAAAATTTAGATATCTTTATGAAACTTGGTAACTTGAGTAAAAATTGAGATATCTTTATGAAACTTGGTACACATGTTCCTTGGCACTATAAGAAATTTGGTATTGTAGGTGGTCGTAAGCGCCACTGCCACGCCCACAAAACGCCATTAATCGAAAACATATAAAATACCATAATGAAGCACTAAATTAAGATATAAACCTGTAATTTGGCGAATTGCATTAGGGAGAGGCATATTTAGTTGAACATTTTTGTAAAAAGTGGGCATGGCCCCGCCTCCTAATGAGTTTAATGTATATATCTCCTGAACCATTAGAGCTATATGACCCAAATTTGCACAGATCAAATATTTTTACTCTTCTTTCGACAGTTCGAACAGTTACCGAATATGGGGACCCCAGCGCCTGGTTTTAATTTTTACCGGAAATAACGGTCAATCTGTGAAATATATTTTTGCAATTCAGAGAATAGCCCCCATATATCTTATCGAAATATTTTCAAACTTCCGGTTTATTTCATACCGCATATATCGGTCAATATGTGAGCTATCTAAATAAAATAAGGTGGATGTATTCTTCTTCTAGTGTTGCCTACAATGAATAAGATCGGGTGAAAACTTGCCCTAGCCTCTTTGTAACTAATCACAGAATTTTTAAACAACCGGTTGATTTTACACCATATATGTTGATATGGTAGGTACCTCCTTAATGAAACTCGGAGAACATTTTATTCTGTTAGTAGTATGTTGTACTGTCAAAAATAGAGAAAATCGTGTCACTTCTACTCTGTCTCTCATATACCTCACATAAGATTTTCAAATTTCCGATTGGCCGTATGCCATATATATCAGTAAGATATATGTAAGATATCTTAGCAAAATTAACTGATTAATATAAGATATACTATAGTTCAACGTTCAACGTATACTATTGGATATACTATAGTTTAGTGCCGAAAATATATAATATGAATTTAGTCTGCGAACTACCCAAACTCCCAAATACTACATTGTCAAAATTAACTCAATCAGCCCATCCCTTTCTCTCTCCCCAATATAGCCTGTAAATAGTTTCCGACTTTCCACCTGACAAAAAGTGTAATACTTTAATAAAATTAAATGAACAAGTTTTTTTAAAAAATGTGTGGGAATATGAATGACGTTGGTCTAGACTTAATGAATTGCAATCCTTTGGTTGACGTTTTCACATCAACTCATTATATAGCGAAGTAAAATATAGTAAAACAATTAAGTGCGTCTGTGACCTACAATATAATACAATAAAATACCTAATCTGATTGTAATCCATTTACGAATTCATCAAATAATGAATGTTGAATTGTTTCGCCTTTTTTATACTCTCGCAACCTGTTGCTACAGAGTATAATAGTTTTGTTCACCTAACGGTTGTTTGTATCACCTAAAACTAATCGAGTTAGATATAGGGTTATATATATATAAATGATCAGGATGAAGAGACGAGTTGAAATCCGGGTGACTGTCGGTGACTTGAGATATCTTTATGAAACTTGGTAGACATGTTTCTGGGTACCGTGAGACGGTTGGTATTGCAGATGGGCGTAATCGGACCACTGTCACGCCCACAAAACGCCATTTATCAAAAACAAATAAATTACCATAACTAAGCTCCGCAATAAAATATAAGACTGTTATTTGGTACACAGGATCACATTAGGGAGGGGCATCTGCAGTTAATTAAACAAATTTTTTTTTTTTTAAAGTAGGCGGGGTCTCGCCTCTAATAGGTTTAATGTGCATATCTTCTAAACCGCTAATGTTATAATAACAAAATTCACTGGAAGCAAAGTTTTTTAGAACCTCTACCCACAGTGTGAAAATAGTTGAAATCGGGTGGCAACCCCGCCCACTTTCCATATAACGGTACTGTTAAAAACTACTAAAAGCGCGATAAACCAAGCACTAAACACGCCAGAGACATTAAATTTTATCTCTGGGATGGTATGAGATGACTTTATAGGAACCGCGTTCAAAATTAGTGGCGTGGCACAGCCCACTTTTAGGTGAAAACCCATATCTTGAGATCTGCTTAACCGATTTCAACCAAATTCGGTACGTAACATTTTTCTCATATTTCTATGTAATAGTGCGAAAATGGGCGAAATCGGACTACAACCACGCCTACTTCCCATATAACACCATTTAAATTCCATCTGATTCTTTCACTTTCCACTATGCATATCAAGCAACAATGATTATATCGGGGTAAAACTTCGCGTGAATAATACGTTTAAAGTATGCCACCTTGTGACCAAAAATTGTCTAAATCGAACCAAAACTGTTCAAGCCCCTAAGTACTAAATATGTGGACCCCAGTGCCTATAGTTGACCTTCTACCGAAAATATCAGCCAATCCACAAAGAAATCTCAAACGAGTATACCATTTGACTTTGCGAGAGTATAAAAGGTTCCGTTACATCCGAACTTAGCCCTTCCTTACTTGTTTAATATAAAGTTCTCCCAACACCTGAGGTTATTTTCCCTGCTTTGACCCTTGCAAGTTGCAAGAGTATAAATGTTCGGTTACACCCAAACTTAGCCCTTGCTTACTTGTTTTTAATTAAATGCTTTCCGTATACCTTCCGAAAGATTTTCTTAACTGCACTGTGCTTGTCATATATTTTGTAATATTTTCTAAAGTTTAATTTTTCCCAAAAGATGGCAACACTTCTATGATGTGTGGTAATTTGAAATTTCTAAAATACTTTTAGCTTGATACAGTATAATAGACGTTTTTGAAAAACACCATTATGTGAATTGTGAAAACCAAATTTTACACTCTTATAACGGTTGTTGGAAAATAATTATGAAAAGAAAGGGACAATTCGCGTAAAAAATTCATATATCCGAGACCCCTTGCCAAATCCCAATAAAATTTTCATGCACACTATTGCGGTTTTTACCTTCTAAGTACAGTTAGAAACTATGCTTAATGGATTACTTAACTTATAACGCCATTTTAGTCGATTTTGCATGAATAACTTATATATATCATATATAAGTTCCATAGCCCCTGAATTAGGTTTTTCTTATTAGAATTTCGCTATTGTTCCATAGTTTTATGACGCGGTCAATAGGTCGATGTTGAGTCCGGCTGACACTTCTATACATTGCATAAAATTTCGTTTATACAAATATTCAAAAACAAATCGATCCGTTGATGCTGTGTGTGCTCATTTGACCTGTATAGATTTTAGCTGCGCCTGACGCGGAGTCCGGAAAGCACTCATCTTACTTTTTTCTGATAAGATCTGACGACCACATTCCGATTAAGCAGCATTTTTTTTTTTTTCAATAAAAAAAAATTGTATTGACTCGTGAAACTCCGCTTTATTCACTTTTTGAAAAATCAAAAGTTGCCGCAGTAAGTGCAAGATTTGGCCTTTAGAAGATTAGGTCTAACAATAAAACATATGCAAATGCATTAAACTGTTTTATTTGGTTATGTAATACAGCTGCGCTTACACTGTTTCGGCAAAAATGTCATATAATTATGTTACTTTTTTACCCTCAACACAGTTTTTATATATTTAACTAAAGTGACATTGAACCTCAGCGACTCTTGTTTATTAGATAAATAACTGACAGAAGGTGCGAAATTTCGGCTCCCCATTTAACTAAATA